CCCCGCCGCCGCCCCCCCCGCTGCTGCTGCTGCTGCTGCTGCTGCTGCTGCTGCTGCTGCGTCTGCAGCTGGCGTCGTCGCAGCAGCAAGGCACGGAGACAGTCTCCTCCAGCAAACAAGCCAGCCGCTCGTACAGCAGCGGCTGCTGCAGCGCGTCGACTTGGGCCCTGCGTTCCCAGGCGCGGAGTCTGCGGCAGTCTCCTGCAACAGTGCGTGGGCAGCTGCAGCAAGGAGCAGCAGCAGCAGCAAGCAGCGCGGAAGCTGCTGCTGCTGCGCTGCTGCGGCCCCCCGCAGCAGCAGCAGCCGCCCGCGAAGAGGAAGCAGCAAACGGCATGAAAAACGAACACGCCTGGTGAGCAGCCAGAGACGAAGACAGCGACATGCTGCCTCCCGAACTCTTCGCAGACATCTTCTGCTGCTGCTGCTGCTGCTGCTGCTGCTGCTGCTGCTGCTGCTGCTGCTGCTGCTGCTGGTCAGGGCTGCGGCTGGCGCGGGCGCTGCTGCTGCTGCTGCGGGCAACGCAGAAGGCCGAAGCAGCAAGCCGACGCCCTGCTGCTGCAGCCCTGCCTGCTGCAGCAGATTAGGGTTTAGGGTTTGGCGCTGAGGGTTTGGCGGCTGGGGTTGAGGCTGTTTGTGGCTGCTTCGGGACTGCGAAGGCCACCCCCAAAACTCAGCTTGCTGTGGCAGTCAGTCGCTGACTCAGCTGCTGCTGCTGCTGCTGCTGCTGCTGCTGCTGCTGCTGAAGACAGCGTGTCGTTGCTGCTGCTGCAGCCTCCAGTGTACATACAGCGCAGCACAGCAGGTCTCCCTCCCGTCAATGAACAGCCAAAGTGATCTACCAAAGGAACCGGAGTTAAATGCATGCTTGAATTCGCCAGCAGCAGCAGCAGCTGCTGCAGCAGCTGCTGCTGCTGCCGCTCCAGTAACCGCAGCAGCAGCAGCGCAGCGGCTGGTCACGCCGAGACAGCCCCAATCCTGGAGCTGCTGAGGATCTTTTACACTTTTAATTAATTTATCTTCAGAATTAAATCAAATTTAAACATTTATTCTCCTGCTGCTCTTGTGTCTCACGCGCCTGCCACTCGAAACCTCTCCCGAGCAGCAGCAGCAGCAGCAGCAGCCGAAGCAGCAGCAGCACGTGGCAGTTCAGGCGTCTTAGGCCCTTCCTTAGAGCAAACCAGAAACAACTGCTGCTCTTCAAGACTTCGCTGCTGCTGCTGCTGCTGCTGCTGCAGCAGCAGCGCAGCAGCAGCACCGCACGGGCTGCCTGGCCACTGAACAGGGCTGACGAGCCTGAGTCTCGGGGTGCAGCAGCTGCTTAAGCAGCAGCTTAACTTCTAATAAATGAATAAATAACAAATAAATAATAAATAAATAAATATTAAAACGCATGCAGCAGCAAATTATCTCAAAATAAAATTAAAAACCGCACGTTCTGGAGCCCAGCCCGCGACTCCGCGGGGAGGGGGGCCCCCCCAACACCAGTGGGGGCCCCCAGCAGCAATGGGGGCCCCCAGTAGCAATGGGGGCCCCCCCAGCAGCAATGGGGGCCCCCAGCAGCAATGGGGGCCCCCAGCAGCAATGGGGGCCCCCATTGTTTCTTCCTGCGGCGGGTTTGCTGCATCTGTAAATGACCTGAGGGCCCCTGCTGCCCACACGCTACCTGCTGCAGCAGCATCAGCAGCAGCAGCAGCAGCTGCTGCTGCTGCTGCTAGCCTCCTGCTGCTACCAGTGGCTGCCGCGGCAGCTGCAGCCCTCCCGCGTAAGCTCTATACATCTCCCCCCGTCTCCAGGGCCTCCTCAATAGGACTTACCCAAACAAAAGGGGCCCCCTAGGGGCCCCTGGGGGGCCCCGGGGGGCCCCCTAGGGGCCCCTGGGGGGCCCCGGGGGGCCCTGGGGCCCCCCTGTGGGCCCCCGGGGGGCCCCGGAGGGCCCCTAAGGTCCCCTCTAGGGGGCCCCAGGAGGCCGCCTAGAGGGAGCCCTTCGGGCCTCTGGGGGGCCCCATGGGGGCCCCCAGAGGGCCCCCAGGAGGCCCCCAGGGGGCCCCCAAATGAGGTGTTGTGGAATCAGTTTTTGTGGACGACGAAGTCGAATTCGAGGCCGTAGACTCCGACGCTTTGGTTTGCGGCCTGCGAAGCGTACGCACACCGTTGGCTGCTTGCTGCGCTGCTGCTGCTGCTGCTGCTGCTGCTGCTGCTGCTGCTGCTGCTGCTGCTGCTGCTGCTGCTGAGGGGCTGCAGTTTGGCAGCAAATACCTCGTCAAAGTCCGCCCAGTCCTCGGCAATGTCTGCTTCTTCAAAAACACTTTTGGGGCCTTTTATGGCGCAGCCAGTTGTGGGGGTCCAGTGGGTGGGCTCCACGCTGTACGTACACCGCAGCAGCAGCAAACTCAAACGCCAGTTTACTTAAGCTGCTGCTGCTGCGCTGCTGCTGCTGCTGCGCTGCTGCTGCTGCTGCGCTGCTGCTGCTGCTGCGCTGCTGCTGCTGCTGCGCTGCTGTTGCTGCTGCGCTGCTGCTTCTGCTGCGCTGCTGCTGCTGCTGCGCTGCTGCTGCTGCTACGCTGCTGCTGCTGCGCTGCTGCTGCAGCGGAGAGCTGACCCGCGGCATTCGAAAGAGATGATGGGCACGAACTGTCCGCTGTCTGCTGCTGTGTAGGGCCTCGTGACTCCCTTAACCTGCAGCAGCAGCAGCAGCAGCAGCAGCAGAGAGCAGCAGCAGCAGCAGCAAAGAGCAGCAGCAGCAGCAGCAAGAGGCAAAAGAAGCAGATGAAGAGAGTCGGAGGAAAGCAGTCGGGGGACACCCCTTGCTCGCGTGCAGCAGACAGTCACTCTATAAGCCTCAAACCCTAAACCCTAAACCCTAAACCCTAAACCCTAAACCCTCACGTGTTCTACGTTGATTGTCGCCGCATGTTTGCTGCCGCCGAAGCGAATGACCAAGTTGGCGGTCCTGCAGCAGCAGCAGCAGCAGCAGCAGCAGCAGCAGCGTCCGGGCCCCCGGGAAGCAGCAAAAGAGAACTTTAAAAGCCCACTTCAAGCAGCAGCAGCAGCAGCAAACCAAAAAAACCCAAACCCTCATTTGCTGCTACCCGCGGCTGCCAGGAATCTCCAAAACTTCTGCAGCAGAAAGAGTAACTCCTTTCTTTTCTTCTGTGCCTCCCGCCTGTGTCACTGCGCACAAACAAAACCCCACACCCACAAATTGGGTTTTGGGGCCCCCGGGGGGCCCCGGGGGCCCCCAGGGGGCCCCCAGGGTACTGGGGGGCCCCCTGGGGGCCCCCAGCACCATTGGGGGGCCCTAAGACCCGTCGGCGCCTGGAGAGACTCGGGGAGGCCCCTTGGGGGCCCTCTCAAGGGCCTCCAACACAGTGGGGGCCCCTACACTGCCTGGGGCCCCTTGGGGACCCTTAAAACCCCTTGGGGCCCCTTAGGGCCCCTTGGGACCTGTAGGGGCCCCTACGGGCCCTTTAAGACCCCTAGGGGCCCCTTAGGACCCCTAGGGGCCCCTTGGGGCCCCCTGGGGGCCCCTGAAGACTGTGGGGCCCCTGTGGGAGTCTCGAAGGCCCGTGAGAAGTGTGGGGTTTTAAAAAGCAGAAAAAGCTGCTGCTGCAGGTGGGGCCCCCTGGGGTGTACAGACACCTGGCGCGGGAGGCGGGGTTTGCTGCAGCAGGCTGGTGGAGGTGAACGGGAGGCGATTTGGGGTCAATTTGGATTATTTTTGGGATTTATTTTATTAATTTTATTGATTTTATAAATTTTATTTATTTTAAATTTAAAAATTAAAAAAAAGATGAAAAATAATGCAAGTTCGAGAGAAAAAGACCCACCGTCGATGTTCCAGGTGTAGTCCGCCGGGAACTCAATTGCCTCCACGTTCTCCAGGTCGGCCTTCATGCGCAGCAGCAGCCGCACCATCTTCACAATTTGCTGCTGCTGCTGCTGCTGCTGCTGTTGCTGCTGCTGCTGCGGCTGCTGCTGCTGCTGCTGCTGCTGCTGGTGTTGCTGGTGAGGTTTTTCGTGTGCAGCAGTGGCTGCTGCTGCTGTTTGTGTTGCTCTGCTGCTGCTGCTGTTCGTGCACAGCTGCTGGCACTGCTGCTGGCCCTGCTGTCCTTGCTGCAGCTGCTGCTGCAGGTCCTGCTGCTGCTGCTGCTGCTGTCTTTGGCGGCTGCGGACTCACGCGCGTCCCGCTGCTTGAGCTGTCTGTACACTTGAAAAGAGAGTATTTGGAAGCAAAAAAAAGCAAAGATAAATTAAAACTTTAATTCTTTTTTTAATTTTTGCTGCTGCTGCTGCTGCTGCTGCGCTGCAGCCCCTTGAGTTCTGCTGCATGCAGCAGCTTGGGGCTGTCAGGGCTGCAGTTCTTTTGCTGCAGGGCCAAATAAAATAAATAAAAATAAATAAACTTGGGGTTTTCTTTTTGCTGCTGCTTGCTGCAACAACTGCTTTGCTGCAGCTTGCTGCTGCCGCCCGCAGGCTGCTGCTGCTGCTGCTGCTGCTGCTGCGGCGCCTGGAAATGGCCTCTGTTGCTGCAGCGCAGCAGAGCGGAGCAGCAGCATAACATCTCCAGCAGTGTTCTCCCCTCCTCCTCCTCCCCGCCGCCGCCGCCGCCGCCGCTGCTGCTGCTGCTGCTGCTGCTGCTGCTGCTGCTGCTGCTGCTGCTGCTATGGGGGGCGAGGCGGAGGCCGCGGGCGCGGGCCGCCCCAGAGACCCCTCGCCCGAAATTCGCTTTCGAAATTATGTCCCGAAAGACCCGAAGCTGCGGCAGTTTTGTTTGCCGCGGCCTTCAGTGGAGGAGTTGGAGAAGCAAATAGCCAAGGAGGCCCAGGAAGCAGTCCAGGCTGCCAAGGAGGAGGTGAGAACTGCTGCTGCTGCTGCTGCTGCTGCTGCTGCTGCTGCTGCGGGCCGCGTGCGTGCTCCACGCCGGCTGCTGCGAAAACGCGGGCGAAAACGGCTTTCTGCTGCTGCTGCTGCTGCTGCTGCTGCTGCGGTGCGCGCCGGCTTCTGGAGTCGCGCGGGGGCCGGGGAGCGGGCTGTGCTGCACTGACACGGCTTGCGGAGCTTTTGCTTCTTTTAAAATGTTTTAAAATACTTTTAAAATACTTTTAAAACACTTTTAAAATACTTTTGAAATGCTTTTGAATTACTTTTACAGGACATTCTGTCGCAAGTGGTGCCGCGGCGGCCCAACTGGGACTTGAAGCGCGACGTGGAACGAAAGATAACAATTCTTTCGAGAAGAACTGACAAAGCAATAGTGCAACTAATAAGAGAAAAGATCGAGCAGAACAAAAAGGCGAAGGAGCTGGCCGGCGCGGAAGGGGTCGGAAAGAAAGATTTCGAAACTGCCACGGAACACCTCTCGAAAGAGGAAATTGAACTCGGCCAGACCGTCATGAACGCAATGAACGAAATGGACGAAATCGATGACTTCGATGAGGAAGAAGAAGCGTAGATTTAATTAACTGTTTGCATTCAAAGGCGCTTTTTAGAGTGCCGCGTGCGCCGCAGTTTCAGGTGTACAGGCAGCTCCGTTCAAGTTTCGCGCGCCGGCTGGCGCAGGCGGCGGAAGCGCCGTTGATCTTCCACCAGTTTTGTTTTCCTTTGCATTTTTGTTGAACTCCAAACAAAATGAGTCTCAGAGTTTTGCTGATCAGTTGGTTTCTGGGCGCTTTCCGCGCGAAAGGCGGCCGCGCGCAAGAAGCCGGCTACGACAGGAAAGCGCTGCAGGTTCGCGCGATCTCGAAGCAACTTCAGCAAACTTTTGCGAAACTTCCGCGAAATTTAAATAATAATTTCATAATAATTCTTTTTAGAGTCTCACGGAGTTTCGCCAACTCCACAGAAAGACAGTCGACGGCCGTTTGTGCGCCGCGGCCTTCGTGCAAGACGGCCGGACATACACGGACTGCACGGCAGTGCGGAACCCCGAGGGCGTTTCGGGTGTGTTTCTCGAGCCCTTTGCTGCTGCTGCTGCTGCTGCTGCTGCTGCTGCTGTTGCTGCTGCTGCTGCTGCTGCTCGTGGCTCACGAACGAAACCCGCACAGGCCGGGAGTGGTGCTACGTAGAAGTTCAACTTTTGGGCAAAGGCACCCGCGACTGGGACTACTGCCAAGGTGGGGGAGCCTGGGGCGCTTAGCAGCAGCACTTTCTGCTGCTGCTGCTGCTGCTGCTGCTGCTGCTGCTGCTGCTGGTGAGCAGCAGGACTTTTGTGGATTTTCGCTCCCAAAACTTCAGAAGTTGTCAACTACGAGGCTGTGCGCGTGGCCTTTCGGTAACTTTGCAAAAGAGCTGCTGAGGAAGCTGCTGCTGCTGACTTTTTTCCAGAGACATTGCAAGAAAGAAAACAGAAGAAATGAAGACTGCTGCTGCATTTTTCCTGGCCCAGGAGCAGTGAGAGCTGTCGATACACCCCAGCCCCGCTGCTGCACTCACCTGCTGCTGCTGCTGCTGCTGCTGCTGCTGCTGCTGCAGGCGGCTGCGGGCGACTTTGCGGAAGCACGAAGAGGTAAGGGGGGTTTGCTGCAGCAGCAGAGGGTTTGCTGCTGCAGCGCAGCCGCAGCTGTGCCTCGCAGCTCCTGCTGCTGCTGAGCGCATGCAAAGAGTTCAAGAAATCCTCGGGGGGGCCCCCAGGGCCCTGGAGGAGCTTCGGGGGGAACTTTCGAAGTTGCTGCTGCAGCAGGGGATGAGTGCGGAGTTGGCAGCAGCAGCAGCAAGAGACGCGGCTGCTGGCAGCAGCAGCAGCAGCAAGTTTTCCTGCGGCGGTGAGTCTGGCCTTTTTCCAATTTGCGGCCAAGTGCAACTCGGCTGCTGCAGCGCTGCGAGGCTACGAAGAAGAAGTAAGTTGCTGCTGCTGCTGCTGCTGCTGCTGCTGCTGCATGCAAGCTGCTGCTGCAGCCAACGGCCGACGGGCTGCGGGCCACGATCTACAGCAACGCGGCCTTCGGGGGGCCCCCCGCGGCCTTCCAGGACTTCCCCACAGTGGACTTCGAGGCCCGCGGGCTGTACCCTTTTGGGGGGGCCCCCCTGGGGGCCCCCGGACTGTACCCTTTTGGGGGGGCCCCCCTGGAGGCCTTTTCCGTTCGCTGGGAGGGCTTTTTGCAAATTCAACTTTCCGAAACTTTCCGAATCTTCACTGTTGCTGACTGTGGGGCCCGAGTCTTCCTCGACGACTCTCCGATTCTGGTGGACCGCATGCAAGTTCCCGCAGCAGCAGCAGCAGCAGCAGCAGCAGCAGCAGCAGCAGCAGAGCCGGAGAAGCCGCTGCCGCCGCTGCCGCCCTCGGGCTTCACCGGGGTCGCCAAAGTCTTTTCAAGTCCGCAGGTGAGAAAGGGTTTTGTTTATTTATTTTATTTTATTTTATTTTATTTTATTTTATTTTATTTTTAATTTATTTTATTTTTTTGTTTTAAAATTCTTCTCGAAACAGGAACTGAAGGCGGGACGCAAATACCGACTCAAAGTTGAATACTTCCACCTCGCCTCCCACAAATTCAAGAACCCGGATTCCGTCCGACTTGAAACCCTAAACCCTAAACCCTAAACCCTAAACCCTAAACCCTAAACCCTAAACCCTCAGCACTAAAGCCTAAAGCCTAAACACTAACCACGAAGCCTTAAACACCAAATCTGAACACTTAGCACCAAACTCTAAGCGCGAAACCCTAAACCCTAAACCCTAAACCCTAAACCCTAATTCGTGGTTTGCAGGCGCGCATGATGCTGGGGTGGACTTCCGCGACTGTGCCCGAGCAGCCAATTCCAGCAGCAAATCTTTTCCAAAGTGACTCTCCGCCGCTGCTGAAGCTGGGGGGCCTCCCGGGGGGCCCCTTTGACTTGTAAGTGCATGCAGCAGCAGCACGGGGGCCCCTTTTGCTGCAGCTGCTGCTGCTGTACCCTCAGGGCCTCCCTCGAAGATGGCCAACTGGCCTTTTCAGATTCTTCTCAGCATTTCCTTGCAGATGTTCCTGCACTCTACCGCGGGCTGCTGCTGCTGAGGGCCCCCAGGGGGGCCCCCAGCCCTCCCCTCCGCTTCGAGGCCTCTGCCCAAAGTACCCTTTTCGTCGCCCTCCCCAGGGGGGCCCCGGGGCCCCCGGGGCCCCTGGGGGCCCCCGGGGCCCCAGGGGCCCCCGGGGCCCCGGGGGCCCCCGGGCCCCCACCTTTTTCCCACCCTGGCTTCCAACCCCTCAAGTTCGCACATGTGGATAATACCATTAGCGTCTACACCGCAACCTCCAGAGACGTAAGTACCCACACCACCACTTGGGGGCCCCCTGGGGGCCCCCGGGGGGCCCCCAGGGGCCCCGGGGGGCCCCCAGGGGCCCCGGGGGGCCCCCAGGGGCCCCGGGGGGCCCCCAGGGGGGCCCTCAAGAGAGCGGCTCGCCAGGAGGGTCTCCTAGGCGGGTGGGCCCCAAGGGGGCCCCTAAGGGGCCCCCCAGAGGGGCCCCCAGGGGGGCCCTCGTGGCTAGCGCAAGCGCATCCGGTGTTGCTGCTTCTGTTGCTGCTGCTGCTGCTGCTTCTGCTGCTGTTGCTTCTGCTGCTGCTGCTTTTGAATTGGAGTGAGTTTCAGGCCAAGGCGACGGAGCAGCAGTTCTTCAGCCTTTACAGCAGCAAAACCTTGCCGGGAATGATAGCTTTTGCTGTTCCTCCAGGTTCGGTTTTGCTGCTCTCGGCCTTTCTGAGCTTTCCCGTGCATGCATCTGCTGCTGCTGCTGCTGCTGCTGCTGCTGCTGCTCAGGGGTCCCCTTTTTTGTCTTTTTCCAGCCCCTGAGGTCCCCCGCCCACTCCTGCGAAGGAACTGCTGCTGCTGCTGCTGTGTCGCTGCCGCGGTCCGCGACTTTCGAGTCTTGCTCTCAGTCCTCTGCAGTCTCCGGTGAGCTTCTGCTGCTGCTGCTGCTGCTGCTGCTGCTGCTGCTGTGGGTGCTCAAGCTGCTGCTGCTGCAGCAGCTGCTCAAGCTGCTGCCGCTGCAGCTCCTCAACCTGCTGCCGCTGCCGCTGCCGCTGCCGCTGCTGCTGCTGCTGCTGCTGCTGCTGCCGCTGCTGCTGCTGCTGCTGCTGCTGCTGCTGCGGAGCCCATGGGTGCGCTGCAGCGCAGCACGACTGCGCCGCGGGCCTCGCGGGCCTCAACTTGGACCTGCCCTTCGGCAGCTGGCGAACAGCGCCTGGCCGCGGCGCCGGCGAGCAGCTGATGGTGGCTTTCAAAGTCCCCGTCGAGATCTGGGAGCTCCAGGTCCGCTGCTGCTGCTGCTGCTGCTGCTGCTGCTGCTGCTGCTGATGGTGCTGTTGCTGCTGCTGCTGCTGCTGCTGGTGGTGCTGTTGCTGCTGCTGCTGCTGATGGTGCTGTTGCTGCTGCTGCTGCCGATGGTGCTGTTGCTGCTGCTGCTGCTGACGGTGCTGTTGCTGCTGCTGCTGCTGAGGGTGGTGCTGCTGCTGCTGTTGAGCCTGGGCGTGCGTCCCTGCTGCGCGTGCATTGGCTTTGCTGCTGCAGTTCAAGACTCTGGACGACCCCCTGACTTGGCCCACAGAGATCGCCGTCGAGTTCCCAGGTGAGCAGCGCTGCAGCAGCAGCATGCGCTTGCTGCTGCGCACGAGCGCTGCTGCAGCAAGCGCATAGCAGCAGCATGCGCTTGCTGCAGCGCTGCTGCAGCGCTGCTGCAGCAAGCGCATGCAGCAAGCGCATGCAGCAAGCGCATGCAGCAAACGCATGCAGCAAACGCATGCAACAAGCGCATGCAGCAAGCGCATGCAGCAAACGCATGCAGCAAACGCATGCAGCAAACGCATGCAGCCCCACTGGCTGCCCGCAGGCCTGCAGGAAAGCCACAAGTTCGCAGTGCGGCCCGGAGACCACAGCTACCAGTTTGCCCCCAAAGTGGTGCGGGGGGTGCTGCTGCGGATAACAGGTGGGTTTTTGTCTTGGGAAATTTGCAAAGTTGAATTTGCAAACTTTTTCAAATTCAACTTTTCAAATTCAACTTTTCAAATTCAACTTTGCAAATTCAACTTTTCAAATTCAACTTTTCAAATTCAACTTTGCAAATTCAACTTTGCAAAGTCCACAAAGTCTGAACTTCGCAAAACCAAACAGGCAAAAGGTCCCTAGACACCTCGGCGGGCACGGGGGGCTCTCTCGCCTTCATTGGAGTGCCGTGCGTGCAGGTAAGCAGCAGCAGCAGCAGCAGCAGCAGCAGCAGATGCTGCTGCTGCAGCAGCAGCAGCAGGTGCTGCTGCTGCAGCAGCAGCAGCAGCAGCAAAGGTTCACGGCGAATTAATGGCGTTTTGCAGAAAAAAGAGCCGGAAGAAGAAAAAGAAAAATACGACGAAGTCAAAATTGTGTTTGGAGAATCAGTTTCGGGTTTTGTGCCGGCGGGGTTTCAACAAGGTGGGAGTTTGGGTGGAAAGCAGCAGAAAAAGTGTCAAACGGAAGCAAATTTGAAGCAAATTTGAATCAAATTTGAAAATAAAGATCGAAAAATGGAAATAAATGCAAAATAAAGATAATTAATTGAAAAAAACGGAAAGTTTTCGAATTATTTTCCCAAATCGAGTGCAGATGACGGATCGCCGAAGGCCGCGCACTTCCCGTTCGCCTTCGGCTGGGACCACCGCGCGGTGTCTGTACACCCCAAAGACTGCAGCAGCAACTTGCTGCTGCAGCGCAGCGGCGTTTCTTTTCCGCAGCAAAACTGCACTGCAGCAGAACTTTGTTCTCCCCTGATTGACTGCGACTACCCGAACGGCTGGTCCATAGACATGCGCTCGTGAGCCTAAACCCTAAACCCTAAACCCTAAACCCTAAACCCTAAACCCTAAACCCTAGGCTCGGCCAGTATCTCGTCACCGTCGAAGTGGGGGCCCCTTGTGGAGATCTGCTGCTCACAAACTTGAAAGTTAATGAAGTGTCTTTTGTGGCCAACGAGCTGCTGCATGCGGGCCAGTACACCAAGGTAGGTGTCTGTACACCCTGCAGCCCAGCCGCGCCCCACCTCCTGCTGCTGCTGCTGCTGCTGCTGCTGCTGCTGCTGCTGCTGCTGCTGCAGGTTGTGGGCCAGATCACCCTCACCTCCTCCCCCACGATACGGCTGACGTCAGACACGCGCGTCACTTTGCAAGCAGTTCATATTCAAAAGATTCGCCCCACAACGCAGCAGCAGCAGCAGCAGCAGCAGCAGCAGCAGCAGCAGGCAGAGCCCGTGACGCCTGTCAAATGACGGGCTGAAGGGCCTTTTGCTGCTGCTCCGCAGCAGACGACCCCACTCCTCATTTGGAGCAGCAAAAGGGGTCCTAGTTGAACTAAAACTTTATTAATTTAATTTAATTAAATGAAAGACTTCAACTCTAGCGATTCAGCGAGCCATAGCGAAGCCCCGAGGTGTCTGTACACCTCAGCGCCTGCTGCTGCACCCGCCAGTGGGCCCTTTTGCTTCCACTTCCTTTGCTGCTGCCAACAGCAGGCAAAGCAGTGCACGGGGGCCCCCAGGGGGGCCCCACAGGGGCCCCCAGGGGCCCCCAGGGGCCCCAGGGGCCCCATGGGGCCCCCCGGGGGCCCCAGCTGCTTGCAGCAATGCATGCATGGGTTGGGCTTGTGGGGTTATGGAGTGTCTGTACACCGCAGCGGGCAGGCAGCAGCAGCAGCAGCAGCGGCACGCGGCGAGAAGGTCTTAGGCGCGGACTTGAGGAGATTTGGTTTGTTGTTGCTGCAGCATTTTAATTTAAATAATTAAAAAGAATAAAAAGAATAATGAAAGACAAGTTCAGGAAGGAAGCGGCGGGCAGGCGGCGAGGGACTCGAGCGCTGGGGACTGCAGCAGCAGCAGCAGCAGCAGCAGCAGCAGTCGGGCGCTGCTGCTGCAGCAGACCTGCTGCTGCTCACCTGCTGCACTTTTCCGAAATCGACGGCTTTTTTGGAAGCAAATAATAAAATAAAAAGGAAAATGGAAAAGAAGAAAAAAGGGAAAAGGCGGAAGAGCCGTTTGCTGCCGCTCTCGAGACTCCGGCGCAGCGAGCAGCAGCAGCAGCAGCAGCAGCAGCAGCAGCAGCAGCTGGCTGACCGCTGCCGCCGGACGGCGGACCAGCTGTGGGGGCTGCGGGGCGAAAAAGCCGAAAAAACTGCAGAAATGGAAAATAAAAGTTGAAATAAAAAACAAAATAAAATAAAAAATAAAAAGCGGAAGCAAAAAGGTGTTTGGAGCTGCTTCTCCCTGCAGAAGGCCGTCGGCAGCAGCAGCGAACCGGAGGGTAGCCACAGCAGCAACTTCAGCAGCAGCAGCAGCAGCAGCAGCAGCAGCAGCAGCAGCAGAAGCAGCTCGGGCACATCTTCTTCAAGCTGCTGCGTCATCTTCTGCTTTATCTGTTCCTTACTCGAGGCCGCTGCTTCCACCAGCAGCCGTCGGGCTCGCGCCGCGCAGATTAGGGTTTAGGGTTTAGGGTTTAGGGTTTAGGGTTTGCGGTTTCTCCGAGGCCCCGTCGACTCAGCGGCGCCCAACGCCTCCTCGCCTGCTCTCCCTCTTCGTTTGCATGCAGTTAGCTGCCTCCAGGGCTTAGGGTTTAGGGTTTAGGGTTTAGGGTTTGCCGCCAAACCCTCGACTCGCCGCCCCCGACAAATCGACAGCAGCAGCTAAACCCTCAAACCCTCACAAACCCTCCCCAATTCCTTTCTTTTCTTTTTCCTCTTTGCTGCGCTCTGCTGCGCTGCGGTGTACGTACACTGCGGAGAAGCCTGCCAGCTGCCTGCAGCAGCTCGCGCCCCACTGCAGCAGCAGCCGCGGCGCCGCCTGCCCGTGCTGCTGCTGCTGCTGCTGCTGCTGCTGCTGCTGCTGCTGCTGCTCCACCTGTCCTCTCCTGCCCCCACCTCCCCACACCCTATGAAGCCCCTCAGCAGCAACGAGTTCTTCTCAGACCCTCCCAGGCCTCGTGGCAGCAGCAGCAGCAGCAGCAGCAGCCGTATTTTAGCTCTTGCTGCAGCAGAGGCACGCCCAGCAGCAAACCCTAAACCCTAAACCCTAAACCCTAAACCCTAGCCTCCAAAATGGATATGTCTCGGGTTCAGGTCCTGGACTCAGAGGGCCTCTTCACCCCCACTGTGCCTCTCTCTCCTCTCTACGCAGTTAGCAGCAGCATGAACGCCACTGCTGCTGCTGCTGCTGCTGCTGCTGCTGGGCCCTTAGGGGCGCAGCAGCAGCAAGGGGGCCCCCCCGCCTGCTTCGTGCTGCCGGAGCGCTGGGGCCTCATGAGGGGCCCCCTAACCCGTCGGGTTTCTAACAGAGATGCAGCAGAGAAGCAGCAGCAGCAGCGGTCGCAGCAGCAGCAGCAGCAGCGGCAGCAACAGCAGCTGCAGCAGCTGCACCAGCAGTTCGCAATGCTGGCGACTAAAAGAACCGAAATAAACATCCAGAGGAAGCAGCAGCAAAACGTGCTTCGGCCCAAAATGCCTGCACAAGACAGGCAGCAGCAGCAGCAGCAGCAGCAGCAGCAGCAGGTTCTCCTGCAGCACAAGGCGCGCATCCAGCAGCACATGCAGCAGCAGCAACAACAGCAGCAGCAGCAGCAACAGCACATACGCGCCATGAACGCCAAACAACTGAAGGAGCAGTTTCTTCATCAGCAGCAGCAGCTTCTCAAGAAGCAGCAGCAGCAGCAGCAACAGCAGTTGAAACAACGACAGCAGCAGGCGCAATTGGCCCTGCTGTCGCAACGGCAGCAAGAACAGCAGCAGCAGCAGCAGCAGCAGCGGCTGCAGTACGCGCACCTGCAAGTGAGCAATGCACAGCAGCAGCGAGCGCAGCAATGGCATATTCAGCAGCAGCAGCCGCAGCAGCAGCAGCAGCAACAAATGAAGCAGCAGCAGCAGCAGCAGCGTGAGTTGCCGCTGCAGCAAGATGAGCCCAAAGACTGCCAGGGCCCTCTGGCGGCTGCTGCTGAGGGAGAGAGCGCAGCTGCGGCGCTGCAGTCTTCGACGAGGACTGTTCAGCAGCAGCAGCAGCAGCAGCAGCAACAGCAGCAAGAGCAGCAGCAGCAGCAGCAGAAGCAAAAGCAGCAGGAGGGGCCGCAGCCCAGGGCTTCACTGGCCGAGGGGCTAGTCAAGCGGGTGCAGCAGCAGCAGCAGCAGCCGCAGCAGCAGCGGGAAAGGGGCGCGAAGCAACTGGCGTCGTCTCCGAGCGCGCGGCCGCGCAGCAAGTGCAGCAGCAGCAGCAGCAGCAGCAGCAGCAGCAAGCGAGGGGAGGGGGAGGGTGGTCGCGGGAGCGGGGTCGCGAGCCCGAGCAGGCTGCAGGCAGCGCCAGTCACAGCAGCAGCAGCAGCAGCAGCAGCAGCAGCAGCAGCAGCAGCAGCAGCAGCAGCAGCAGCAGCAGCAGAAGCAGCAGCAGCAGCAGCAGCAGCAGCAGCAGCAGCAGCAGCAGCAGCAGCAGCAGCAGCAGCAGCAGCAGGGGGGCGGCGTGCGCGCCGGAAAGCACGCTGATAATAATAGACTACGACGACACTTTGCTGCCGACGAACTGGGTGGCAGTGCAGCACAAAGTGGGGCTGGGAGACGCAGTGCCTTGCTGGATGCAGCAGCAGCTGCAGCAGCTTTGCTGCTGCGTGCTGCAGACCCTCTCGCTGTGTCTTGCTGCAGGGCGGCTGTTTCTGGTGACCAACGCCAGCAGGGAGTGGGTCTGCAGGTCTGCGGGCAAGTTCATGCCGCTGCTGTGGCAGCAGCTGCAGCAGCAGCTGCAGCAGCAGCAAATAACTTTAGTTTCTGCCCGCGACCGGCTGCAGCAGCAGGGGCTGCCGCAGCGCCTCTGGAAGCTGCAGGTCTTCAGGGACATTGTTGCGGAGACCCTGGGGGCCCCCGGGGGCCCCGGGGGGCCCCCCGGGGGCCCCCGGGGGGCCCCCTGCTGCCTCCTTTCCATAGGAGATGGAGACGGAGAGAGAGATGCTTGTCTGGACCTCTGCAGCAGCTTTTCGAAAAACTTCGGCTTCTGCAAGTCCCTCAAGCTGCTGCCGCAGCCTTCTTGCGCCCAACTTGCTTCGCAGCATTTGCTGCTGCAGCAGGCCTTTGCTGACATTCTGCTGGTCTCTCAGAGCCTCGACATGACCATGCTGGACTACCACGCCGAAGCAGACTGCAGCAGCAGCAGCAGCAGCAGCAGCAGCAGCAGCAGCAGCAGCAGCAGCGGCGGCGGCGCCGGCGGCGGCCAGCAGCAGCAGCAGAAGCTGCCCGTGCTCGCCCAGGCGATGCCACTCGGCCAAAAGCAACACGCGCTCCCGGACGCGCAGGCGCTGCAGCAGCAGCAGCAGCAACAGCACTTGCTGCAGCAGCAGCAGCAGCAGCAGCAAAGACAAGAGACAGCTGCTGCCAAACACGCAGCAGAAGAGGAGGCCCTTGTGTCCGGGGGGCCCCACGGCGAGCTGCTGCGCGACTGCAGCCGCCCGCAAGACGCCGCCGGGAAGCTGCAGCAGAAGCTGCTGCTGCCAGCAGCAGCAGCAGCAGCAGCAGCAGCAACAGCAGCAGCAGGAAACACAGATGAGTTCATTGACCAAATCAGCGCAGAACTCTCGCAGCTGCAAAGCAGACTGCCTCTAGGGGGGGCCCCCCAACCTGAAGCGCCCCTACCCGCTCATTTATTAAGAGATCAAAACTAAAGGGGGCCCCCAGGGGGGCCCCCAAGGGGGCCCCCAAGGGGGCCCCGAGAGGGGCCCCCAGGGGCCCCCTCCTGGGGCCCCCTCTGGGGGCCCCCAGAAGGGGCCCCCCCCTCTAGGGGCCCCTTTCAAGGGGCCCCTTTAAGGGCCAAAAGGGCCCCTCAAAAGGGGCCTCCAAATGGGGCCCCCCGAAAGGGCCCCCAAAGGGGGGCCCCAAAAAAAACCCACAAAGGGAGGCCCCCAAAAGGGCTCCCAAAGGGGGGCCCCCCAAGGGGGGCCCCTGCAGAGCCAAAGTCCGGAGGCACCCCTTGGGGGCCCCCAAAGAGGGCCTCTTTGGGGGCCCCCTAATGGGGCTGCAGGGGGCCCCCACGGGTGGGGGCCCCCCGGGGGCCCCCTGGGGGCCCCCTGGGGGCCCCGTTTTATGTCTTCAAGCTGGGTACTCTTCAACAGCAGCTGCAGCCCTAAGTGCAGCAGAAACTACTTTAGATACAAGAGGGCTTAGGGGGCCCCTGCAGCGGGCAAGGACCTTTAAAGGGGCCCCAAGAGGGGCCCCTAGAAGGGGCCCCTCTTGGGGGCCTCTCAGGGGGCCCCCAAGGGGGCCCCCCGGGGGCCCCTTTTGAGGGGCCCCTCTCCCGTGGCTTGAGGGCCTCCTGACTCCATCTGGTGCTGCAGAGGCCCTCAAAAGCAGCAGCACCAGAAAAAGGGCACAAATAAGCCCTAAGGGGCTTCTCCAGGGGCCCTCTGGGGGGCCCCCTAGGGGCCCCTCCTAGGGGCCCCTAGGGGCTCCTCCTAGGGGCCCCCAAGGGGCCCCTCCTAGGGGCTCCTAAGGGGCCCCTTTTAGGGGCCCCTAAGGGGCCCCCCCTAGGGGGGCCCTAAGGGGCCCCCCATAGGGGCCCTCCTGAGAGGGGCCCCCAGGGGGCCCCCCCGAGGGGCCCCTCGTAGGGGCCCCTCTTAGGGGGCCCCCAGCGGCCTGCACAGGCCTTTTAGAAAGGGTCGGGAAGGGCCCCTTTGGGTACCTCAGGGGCCCCCCGTTGTCAAACAATATATCAGACAGCGCTTTGCTACGAAACTGTTACGAGTTGTCTACTGCAGCAGCAGCAGCAGCAGCAGCACTAGCAGCAGCAGCAGCAATAGCAGCAGCAGCAGCATTAGCAGCAGCAGCAGCAACGCGAGCAGCAGCAGTAGCGGCACGAGCAACGGCAGCGCCAACACGAGCAGCAGCAGCAGCACCCCTAGTAGCCGCAGCAGCAGCAGCAACGCTAGCAGCAGCAGCAGCAACGCTAGCAGCAGCAGCAGCAACACTGGCAGCAGCAGCAGGCCTATTGAGGCTTTTTTCTAAAATTGTAAATGGGTCCAAAACCGCCGCAGCCCCCAACAAACCCCCCCAATATAAGCTGCAGGGGGCCCCCCGGGGGCCCCCCGGGGGCCCCCCAGGGGCCCCCAGGGGGCCCCCCTGGGGTCTCTTGGGGGCCCTTTGGGGCCCCCTTTGGGGTCCCCCTCGGGGCCCCTCAGGGGCCCCCGAATTGTCTGTTGCTTTGCTGCCGAGGGTGCTGCTCAGCGTTTGCCCTTCCTGCGCCTGCCCCGCTCCTGCTGCTGCTGCTGCTGCTGCTGCTGCTGCTGCTGCTGCTGCTGCTGCTGCTGCTGCTGCAGCTGGTTGGCGGGGAAGAAGAGGCGCATGTCCAGCGCGTCTTCGGAGCCGCAGTAGTAGCCCTTGTTGGTTGCATGCACTCGGTAGCCTCTTTTCTGGTAGCAGCAAACAGCAGCAAAGTTGGAGACGCGCACGAAAAGGTCCAGGAAGCAGCACTTGTAGACGCAGCAGCAAACTGCTTCCAGCTGCTGCAGCAGCAAAGAAGCCACCCCACAGCCGCGGGCCTCGGGGGCCACCGACAGCGCCGTCAGGTGCCCGTGCCACTCGGGGCCCTCGCCCTCCACTTTCCCTGCAAGCCGCAGCAGCAGCAAACCCTTTGCTGCTGCAGCAGCAGCAGCAGCAGCAGCAGCAGCAGCAGCGGCGGCGGCGGCGGCGGCGCAGCGGGGGCGGCTGCGCAGGCGGCTGCAGCAGCTGGGGGTAAGAAGGCGGCAGCGACCGGCAGCAAACGCAGCAGCAGCAGCAGCAGCAGCAGCAGCAGCAGCAGCAGCAGCAGCAGCAGCAGCAGTGTGCTTTAGAGAGATACGTTCTTAAGCAGCAAATTAAAAGGAGAATATTCTTGCTGCTGCTGTCCAAAGACAAGGAAAGACCAAAAGGCACTAAAGTAGAAAAAGCCAAAAACACCGAAAAAGGCCAAAAAAAGACCAAAAAAAGACCAAAAAAAGATTTAAAAAAGATTTAAAAAAGATTTAAAAGGATAAAAAAGTAATGTAAAAGAATAAAAGAGAATAAAAGGAATTAAAACTGAAAAAAGGGACCAAAATGGACCAAAACGGAGTTGAAACGGACCTATGATGTAGCCGAGAAGGGCCCCATCGGGGGCCTCTGCAGCAAAACAAAGTTCGGGCCAAGAAGACAAATACTTGAAATAAAATGAAGACGAAAAAGTCTCCGTAAAACTGTCGCTGTTAATGGCCTCCAGGCGGTGCAGGTCGGCCGCAGTGAGCGGCCGCAGCAGCACCATCGCAGCAGCAGCAGCAGCAGCAGCAGCAGCAGCAGCAGCAGCAGCAGCAGCGGGAGCAGCAGCAGCAGCAGCGCAGCAGCAGCGGCGGCGGCGGCAGCTGCGGCGGCAGCGGGCAGGCCGGCGGAGGCGAGGGGCAGAGGTGCAGCTGACGCAGATTAAGAGGGGCTGCTGCTGCTGCTGCTGCTGCTGCTGCAGGGGGGGCGAGGGGCGAGAGAACAGGGGGAGAACAACAGCTGAGGAGGAGGAGGCAGCAGCTGCAGCAAACGGGAGATCCGCAGCAGCTGCAGCAGCGCAGCAGCAGCAGCAGCAGCAGCAGGGTGAGAAAGACAAGAGAGAACTTCTCTAGGGAAACACACAGACACCCGCCTCTGCAGAGCCTCTGCAGCAGCTCGAAATAGATTTAAATGAATAAAAACAAATAAATAAATTAATAAATAAATAAATAAATAAATAAGTGCCAAATAAAACAAAACATAAAGCTTGGGGGCCCCTGGAAGCGCCTAACGGCGAGACCCACAGGGCCCCGTACCCAGTACCCTGTTTGGGGGCCCCTGCATCAGGAAGCCGGGGGGCCCCCCTGGCTTCTTGGAAGCCTTTTGTTGTCTTCTCCTTTTAATTAATTTGTTTATTTTGATTTATTTGTTTGTTTTATTTCATTTGTTTGCATTTGCCTTAGCGCCAGCGCTGCAGCAACTCGGGGGCCCCCAGCAGCAGCGCGGGGGGGCCCCCGAACTGAGAAGGTACAAGAGCCCCTGGGGGCCCCCACTGGGCCCGTGGGAGCCTCGGGGGCCCCTGCTGCTGCAGCTGTGGGGCCCCCCGCTGCAGCCGCAGCAGCAGCTGCAGCAGCTTCGGCAGCAACTCACTGACGCGGGGCCCCCGAAGCCCCAGCAGCAGGCTCCGTGGCCCCATGGGGCCCCCGCCGAAGGGCCCCCGGCCGAAGAGCAGCAGCAGCAGCAGCAGCAGCAGCAGCAGGGAGGATCGGGAGGGCGGGGGGGGCCCCTGGGGCCCCTGGGGGCCCCCCGGGGCCCCCGGAAAGGGCCCCCACCAGGGGCCCCCCGTAGAAGAGTGTGAGGCCCCAGTGTCTGGCAGCTGCGACTGCCCGCCCCCTTTGAAGTTCTCAGTACCCCCTTTGACTGACCAGGGGGCCCCCGGGGGCCCCCTGGGGGCCCCCGGGGCCCCCTGGGGGGCCCTTCTTTGGGAGGCCCCCTACTCTTGTGGCAATCCTGCAGTGGAAAGGATTACAGGAGTCATAAGGTACTTCAACTCCGCTCCGAGGGGCCCCGAGGGTCACGTGAGGGCCCCCATGGGGGCCCTCACGGGGGCCCCCCGCTCCTCGGGGGCCCTCGGGGGGCCCCCCGGGGGGCCCCCCGGGGGGCCCCCCGGGGTTGTGGCTGAGGGGCCCCTCTCGTTGGACGGCGCAGGGGGATCTTCTTTGGAGCTCCGCCAGCGCAGCAGCAGCAGCAGCAGCAGCAGCAGCACGACTGGCGATTCGTCCGTCGCTGCTGCTC